GACTTTACTTGATTGTGCTCGTTTGATCATCTATATTTATACTTTGCCAAACTGAGGTCTCGAACTATCTCTAAACTAAATAAGCGGCACTGTAAAGTAACAATACTCACCTTAGGTAACGAGAAAAATATCGAAGATTCGAGTAACGTGACGTCAACAATATTAGTAAAGCCTAGACAACAACATTGTAATTGCCAACACAACGTACGACTTCTACAGAGTTACGTAACGAAATATGTCACAATTAATACTTATAAAACAATCCATCTTCAACACTCCTGTCCTAAAACCTAAACAATCATTAATCATGAAGTCACAAAATATACTAAATAATAACACCTACAATAAACAGTCTTGTATATCCAACACTTATATATATATATTTATGTTATGTTCAAATCTGCTTCTTGATAAAGCCTTATAGCTTTGAAACTGGTTCTTGAAGAAATATCCCTACATAATCAAATGTTTGACCCTGCGATTTATTAATTGTGATGGCAATGACAAAAATTTGAGAACCAAGGGCAAATCCACAGATATATGTTTTCATAAAAAATACATATAAAAATTGTGATTAAAGTTTTAAAAATCTGTTACCGAAGGTGAAAAACAACAATATGAATGTATTGTAGTGCCGTTTATTGAGTTGAAAATATATTTAAGTTGTGTTGGATACAGATAAGACACTGCTTCATTGAAATCGTTGGTAATTTTTACTTTGCTTCTGTCTACTACTCATGATCAAAGAAATTTTCGTCAAACTACAAAATGTTAATAAACTTTATCACGATGCGATATGCGAGTCTAAAATACAACTTTTCTGTAATTAAGCCTAAAATGAAGATGTAGTGTGGAATCACCTAACTTAAGCCCAAGTGCATAAAGTTTTTCATGAAAGAAAAAATATGAATTCAATTTTAAACCTAAACCATTTTGCTGTTATATCACTGAAATTGAAAAAAAACAAAAACTTTTCAACCAACGCACTCTAAGTTAAGAAATCATTTTTTTTTTTTCAGTTTTGCTATCTAGACTTCTCATTTTACAACTTCTGTATATAGACTTACAGTAATATCAGGTCAAACTTTTGTTGCTAAGCAATATAACACAAAAGCCATTGTTGGAACGTAGCATTATGAAATTGGCCTATATATATACATTAGATACTTTCTATCCACTATACAATAATATACAACTAAGCTTTTAATATACATATATTAACTGAATAATTGTCGATTTCGACCTGAACGATACCTTATACTAAACATGGGTTATATGGCCAGATCAGAAGCCCTTAAAGGCCACATATAGTCATCCTTAATCCAAAACTTACCAGAGAAAAGACAGCTAGTCACCGGCATCCGTTATCTCTGTGGCTATTCTTAATCTAATAGCAGGATTGACTGCCATAATTACAGTGCTCCCATAGCAAAGCATGTTCTGTGGAATATCGTGGCTAGAACATTAGACTTTTTGATTTGCAAAAGTGACACCTCTAGGATCGGCTTTCGTGGGGGGGGGGGGGACTCTATGCCAACTGGCAAAGAAAACAAGGGGAGGAAGATTCGATTTTTCTAAATAAAAAAGGTCAGGGCAGCGCTGTTAATGTATCATAGACAATTCTTTCCCCAAAGAATTGTCTGAATAATTTTTCACTCCTTTATCAACTGGATTTTCGACAATTCTTTTATTAACACTTACATTGACATCTAAAGTAGGACAGTAAGTAGGGGCTGAAAAAGTTAAATAGTTACTTTGCTAAAGAGTTGTCCGTGTTACAGTGAGCTCAATGATATGCCTAATGATTTCGATACCTGTAGTGGGCAGAACACAAATATCCGACAGTGAGCTCAATGATATGCCTAATGATTTCGATACCTGTAGTGGGCAGAACACAAATATCCCACAATGAGCTCAATGATATGCCTAATGATTTCGATACCTGTAGTGGGCAGAACACAAATATCCCATTGTAAGTTTGTGCACAAAAACAAACAAATATGGCGAGTAAAAGCTTCACCATTTCCTTTCCAACAAATATCAATTCTTAGAGTAGTCAAACGTTTTCCAATATTTTTTATTACATATGTATCTTTAGTCGAAGATGAACTTAATACTTACTTAACCCATAATCTTCTTCCAAGTACTGATCAAAAGAAGAGATGGTAAACCCGTCATCTTCCACCCTGGCAAATGTATATATCAAGTGAGTACACAATGTAGGGTCGATTTGTTCCACCAAAAACCTTCCATTTCCTGATCTGTAGTGTGACCAACTGTTGTAGTAACATACAATCTTTATGCTCTCGTCTTGTAGGGTCCTAAATCTATGTTGAGAAAAATTCCCTAAAGAAGTTCAAAAATCCAAGCTTAGTTGCTGGACAGAATGCACAAAAAAAGCAAGTGTATCTGAAACATATACAAATATTCATGTTATTAATCTATTTCACAAGGAATAAGCATACTTATAAACAATTACATTTGACGTGGACTTATATGAAATTGGTAAAAATTACGCTTCTCCAACTTAACCTAGTTCACACCATAACAGTTGTTCTTCATGCAGTTTGGTATAATAAATAACGTCTCAATCACTATTGTGTCTGTCGTATCCCTGCAGGCCTAGTATTGAGTGAAAGGCCTCGTCGGAACTGAATACAGCAGGTATAGTGTGTGAAGTATTTGTGGAATATAAATACTAAGTATATTAGATAAATAAAAGTTTTCAAGAATTACGTTTTTTTAACGCATATGAAATAGCGGATCGAAAATGTTATAAGAAAGCGTGGACATAAACTAGTAAACCGCACTACTAGAAGGGAAGATGTAGGTTTGAGGCCCATAGCAGGAATAAGATAAAAGCAACATTCCAGTTGTGATTTCAGGGCAAGAATTCACAAACGTGGTATGTTGAGAAAACTCCAATAGATAAAACGCAGGACGAAATGAGCCATTGTTACAAAAAAAGCAGTTAATGGAATGGTGATGAAAGACAAGGGTGAACTTCTCATAGTGAAGAGTCCCGCATTATAGGTTTTGTTTCTATACGCCCTAAGTTAATTGTCTTGAATGATTTCACCAAAGATATTAGATAAGGGACAGAAATAAGTTCTGTAAGGACCAATAACAAGGTGGATTTTGGTTACAGTCTGATCGAATAGTCCAATGGATTCTGGCTTCAGTCTGATGGAAGATCCCACTTATACCAATCGAGTTAAGTGAAGCACTTTTCAAAGTAGATATGTTAAACTTCTTGGACAAGCAGAAAAACACTAAATATTGTGTAAATAATAACATGTTTCTGACTCTAAACAGCACTTCTCCGACTTCATCCACTTCTCTGCACTTATGAAGTTGCTCAGGGACATTGTTCTAGCTCCAGAAGATGGAAGATGATAGTAATCCAGAATTTACAAGAAGTTCGCCACACAAACTCCTTGTAAGTATGCTATTTCTAATCTAGTCTAACGGTGCTTCACTTAAAGTTCAATAATGTATAAAGAAAAGTGAAGAATACTAACTGTACTAAAGAAATAATAGATTTGAAAATGCTTAAAGTGGAATTACTTAAAGATATCTTAAAAGAATTTTTAATGCAATTGTACAGATCATGATTGAGTATCCCAAGAGTTGGCGGTGGGTGGTGATGACTAGCTGCCTTCCCTCTAGTCTTACACTGCTAAATTAGGGACGGCTAACGAAGGTAGCCCTCGTGTAGCTTTGCGCGAAATTCAAAACAAACAAACAAACAAACAAACATATTATGATTGAGATAATTTATCATGTTAACTTAATTAATAATGTAACTAATGTTGTATTTATGCTATTGAATGTAATAGAAGGGCTTATTAACGAACAAAATGAAGAATTCAATGACTTAGAAGTAGTGTTATCGCAAAACAACATTGAGAGTTTCGATATAAGTGAACTGTTCAATAGTGTATAAATAAATAAGTTATTTGATTTGCAATTAGTTTTCTCTGTGTGAGTTCTTTATTCCGCACGTAAACGTCCTCTAGTTGGTGCTTTGTGTGTTCCACTCATGACAGTATGACCCAAAATCCCAGCGACTATGCCCACGGGATGTCCATACGCCCGTTACATGTGACTGACATATTTTTATACATTCTTCTTCACTTACACTCGTAAGTTTTAGAATATAGAGCAACTATACATTGATTTTTGTTTTCGGTATGTCATTCTAAGTGCTGAGTTAGTAAATACCCATTCTACAAACATGGGCGTTTGCATAATTTTTTCGGGGGGGGGGGGCAAAGTCTAAATCTAGGGACGATGGACCCGACTTCAAAGTTTTACAGTTACAGTCAAGAGAATAAGCTAGCTCCCTGAGTCAAATTTGATGGGTTTAATATTTATAAGGTTAGTTTAAGTCACACTGCACACTTGCAGCTATATAGACTCCATTATAGTAAATTTTGATTTGTTGTTTTAGGTTCTTTATCCTATAGGGTAATTTCAGCTTATATAAAACAACCGCTTATACGAATACACTAATTTGAGGTTAAATAAAGCACAATATTTCAGTGGCATTTATTGTGTATGTAAGGCAAAAACAACAACAGCAGGTGACAACAGGTTGACCCCGATCATAGTGTGTTGGGGCTCAGAGGATGTAGGCAAGACCGTGTCGGTCTCTTTAAGCGACCTTTTTCAAAATTTTGCTACAGGGTAGGTATCTAGAAATTTTAAATAAAGCTGCTTATAAAACTAGCGACTTTTATTAGAATTGAAAATTTAGTGTAATAACACAGGCCTGCGATGTTTTTTGTTGCCTTGAATGTTTTAAATGTTCTACAGTAATTCATGTACGCTGAATCCGAAAATGATATCCATTTCCCCCCCATCACGTACAGATTTTTCAAAAAACGTCATGACGCAATACATAAAAGAAAGACCACAACATGTAGTGTTGAAACCAAAAGACATATATTTCACACAAAAAAATCAGGATAAATGAGGATGCATATTCGTTTGACATCAATGTTCTTCCCTTGTCTTCAGTTTGTTTGTATTTTTGTTAACAAACATAATAACATGTAATAAAAATGTTCATCGTGGTAAACGATATAATAATTTGATCTAAGTAAAAGTTCTTTCCTCTCGATTCGTAAAAAAAATCCTTATGTGATAGAAAAAAATAATATTCTTCTTGAAATTTAAGTAGCTGAATTATGGAAAATCCGTTATTGAAAACAAAACATCTTTTATGAAGTTTAAATTCGCAGGCCTGTGTAATTAGTGTGAAATTTTGAAGCGATTGAAAAACTTGTAAATTATTCATATACATATTCTGAATGAATAAAGAAAATATTATGTTTCTCATTTTCCAGGGGGGTGTAAGTGCCTACCTGCTGACGACCATGCCTAGAAACATACAAACATTTTATTACACTTGTACTTAGACATTATTATTAAGCCTGCCATATTTTTACACTACGTTCTTTATCTAGTCCCTTAGAGATTTTTCAAGAATTAGAACATTGTATGTTAATAGTATTATGGCCACATTATGTTCGCCGTATCCATAGTGCACTTGGAATACTATAATCATACACTTATAATTATTGATAATCCCTAACGGAATAACTAAAGACTACGATGTTAAAGACATGGTAGGCCTTAATAATATGTCTTGTGACAAGTATGATTAATTTTAATCATGCTTTGACAGTTTGAAAAAGGCATCACAACAATACAGACATCTCTTTTGCTTAAAGAATAAACAAAAAACGCATTATATAATTATTACAAGTGTATATATATTTGGTTTGTTGAGTGATATAAACGTGAAGACGTATTACTTTCACTTCTTGACGAATACTTGAAACTATGTAGTTGACAGACATACACGTATATTTCCATTTAACTCTTGAAACCCGAGCGGACGCTTCTAGCGTCCGGCCGAAATTCCCGATTTACCGATCAGACGGTAACAGCGTCCGATAACATTTGTCTCTTTGGCTGAAAACTAAACCAAACCACGTTATTTTATAAATAGACCGGAAGTTCCGTGAAGTATTGTCTTTTGTTTTGAAACAAATTTCAGATCAACAAGTTGTGTTTGAGACCCATTTTTTCAGTCTTTTTTCTTGTGAAGGCTAACAATTTGTTTACACCAATTGTAAAACAAAGATGGTGAGTGTAAAGAGGCCATCGAAACGTTTTACTGTTGAACAAGCAATGAGTCTGCTCAACCAGTTAGATGAAGGAGGGAGTGGTGAAGATGGTGATTCTTATATTGAATATAAAGACTATGTCGTTACGTTGACCCAACTTGGCATTAGAAATATTAAGCCTACTTACAGATTAACTGTTATGATATGCATGTTCTGCCGAAATTATTTTAATGATTTACTAATAATTATCACCATACGGTATAAAAGTTCAATGTTCTTAATTTTGTTTTTCTCTTCAGCATCAGGGGTACTCACATGAAACACTATTGAGTAAATAGCCTCAATAATGAACATTTGGTGATAAAAGGGTGTGTAGAGAGACTAGTTAATGGCGAAGTAGTCTCAAATGCTAGGCCGTTTGTCGATACCCATTGATGTCATCCCAAGAAACTTCCGCAGTTCATAGTGGGTAAAGAAAGTCCAGTTCAAATACCCTGACTGTCTCTGAGCAGGCCTTTTCTTTGCAACTTGTGCTTTGGCTACTCGTTGATAATAATTATAAGATCGTTATTTACATCTTCTGTAAACAGAGCTCTGAAACAGTTTATGGACGTTGAGTTATCATTGATGTCGGCGTGTACACCAGGATCACGTTTAGCTGCCAATGACTTCAGGGTGTATACCAGGATCACGCTTGTTCTTCGGCAAAAACTTAAAGTCATTACTTGTGGCTGACCTATCTTGCAAATCTACCTCAACACAATCGTTATCTCTGATGCAGGCAATGGACGTACATCTAGGAGATGGATCAGGTCTAACTGGGGCTCGATTTTGTGGCCTCTTAGTACGATTAGGTTCTGGTTGGGGCGATGCCCCTGTGATCAGCTGGTTGAGAAGCACTGGAACTGGGTCTCGATGACTGTTTTTAGTCGCTTTCATCACTAGTCTCTTCCAAAGTCACCCTTATGTATTCAAATTCGATGTACCTGATGATGACAAAACCTTGTCGAAACGTTGTACATTTGCTGTTATGTTAAACTTATATTAAAGTTTTTCTTCATTACCCATTCAAGCCGTCTCCAGCCATTATTATTCTTATGTATTGTTACGACAGCGGAAGTCACGTGACGCTGGTAATACGTGATGAGTATCTAGAAGATTCACAAAGAGACGAGATGTACGCTTTTATAATATATAAGACTGGCAAGAAGTGACGACAACAATTGAATTGCAGACAGAGATAGAGACGGACAATTGAGTCAAGCGCGATAGTTGGTAAAGTGCGTGAATCGTTT